GATTTAAGTTAAGGTAAGGGTTAGGGTCAGTGTTAGGTTTAGGGTTAGGTTTAGGGTTAGGTTCAGGGCTAGGTTTAGGGTTAGGTTTAGGTTTAGGGTTAGGTTCAGGGCTAGGTTTAGGGTTAGGTTTAGGGTTAGGGTTAGGTTCAGGGCTAGGTTTAGGGTTAGGTTTAGGGTTAGGGTTAGGTTCAGGGCTAGGTTTAGGGTTAGGTTTAGGGTTAGGGTTAGAGCGCGCTTCTGTTGGCGTGCTGTTGTCGGTGCGCTTCTGCACTCATTCGTCAGCGCGGTTTAGAACTCGCGGTTTTGTCGCCGTGGTTTCATCGGGCCAGCTTTTGTCAGGCGCCCTTTTGTCAGTGAACCTATTCTGCCATCAGTCATGCCTGAGCAAGTCCCACAAACTTAATTGAATGTACTCAAACCTTTTTTTAAAAAAGCTACATGTAACACATAAACCACCAAATTAATCATATCTTTCCCCCAAGGGATTGAATAGGTAGTGGATACTTAGGAGGGCCCTGTAGAATCAGACCATCATACAATGATTTGCATTAAAACACCAGAAGGTTTAATTTTTGCTTACATTCCACATGATTCCTAAGGTCTTGCTACCATCCTAAACACTAAGAGTGATCTAAACTATAAACAAATGCAAACGTACATTTACAAAGTAGCCAAAGTAAAATGCATTGAGTAAAATGGCCCACAAATCTATATCACACTTACCTGGATGATAATTTTAAATTCTTAATACCTAAAGAGAGGATAATATGGAGGAAAGCATAACTCATGGTTGGAGAATATATAGTCATGCTGCAGACATGTGCTGTTAGGTTTTTGAAACATGGTGATCAAATTCTTCTTCCAACAAACTCTAGTACCTTCATTTAATATATTCCCCACCTACGCTCTCCCTCTCTTCATTGAAACTAATAACATGGCTACTTCATTATGAACCCACATCAGTCCATGTCAATGCAGGAAAAGGGTCTTTTCTTGTTTTGAAGGGTGCACATTTGTTTGAGCATAAAAACCCTACAGCTTCTGTCTCTACAAAGGCTTCTCAGTGGCCTTCAGTGGAAAAGGAAGGACACATATGGGAAAAACTGATCTTCCATTCTCCACCGAAGTGTAGCTGCCTGAAAGCAGAAAAACTGTGCATTCATTAGAGAAAAGCACAAAATGTATTCTGAATGGAGGTGTTTCAAAGTCAGCAGTGCAGAGTTATCATAACCAGACACATGAATGCAGCATAAAAAACAAGGGTTTTTTTCCCCTTAAAATATCTCTCACATCAAAATTTGTCTTTTCCCTCATTTTTAATTAATTTTTGTTTAAAAACAAAGAAATGAGTTTATAGATATCACAGCAAATCCATTCCGAAAATTTTAACTGCTACGCATAAATAACTATACAATATGACAAATAATCAGAGTTTATCACCTAGGCTTTAAAAAAATACATAAAGGAAAATAAACAAGGAATAACTTCAAATCACAGAAACAAATGAATGCCGTTTCTAATTCCACTTATCAATCTTATTAATTTCCGAGCAAGTACAGATAAATGTAGATGCATGTTAGAAGACTCTAATAATGCTACTGAAGGCAATACAACATTAATTTTATCACAAGAAAAGAAAAGGTTCACAGTGAATCACATATGCAATGATCAGTACTGAAAGAAAATCAGAATGGAAAAAGGAAGAGATGGACTAGATATTAGTAACTGTGTTGAAAAACAGAGCATAATATTTTGCAAAATGAATTAACCTACAATATGCACGCTACAAGTGGTGTGTTCTATGTTAGACAAGTGAGTTTTGTTTGAAAAGGCTGATATAAGATACTTGATTATCAGATCAGGATTTTCGAAAATGCTTTGGGGGAGTGGATTTAAATATTCATTTTCTTTGAATCATAAGAACATTTACTCAGAAAGGTGGATGCATTTATAATGTTGTCCTCTATGGATCTCTGTAAGTGTTGAAGTGTGTGCTTGAGCATTATTTCATCTACAGGCCACTATAGCAGACAATCGCACCATTTTATGGTAATTCTGTGAAAATACAAATCAGACTGAGAAATCTTGGGTCATAAGATTTCTTGGCGTTATATGGCTGCTTGAATGTCCAGAAAGGCCAAATCCTGTTGTGATTGCAAAAGAGAGATGTGATTAATGTTCTTTTTTTAAAAAATATATATATCAAGACAGTACATTTTCAGCGATGAATGGAGCCTCAGTTGGATCAAAGCTAAACACTTTAAATATAACTATATAAGGTTTTTAACTATAATAAAAGCAATGGGAGTTAAATTGAATTGGACCGGTTCATATCGATATCTTCCAACTCAGATTATCAGCTTTTCAGGTCTCAAATTATAGTTCAGAGAACCCTGTTTTCTATTTTATGAGATTATCAAAAAATATTTATATCAGAAGTTTATTTGATAGAATCATGACTGTCTACACACTGAGCCTCTACAGCACAGAAAACATTTCACACTGAAATGTACGATAGGACACCTGGGAGAATATTACACAAATATGTGTAGAGGGCAGATCACATGATTCTTTCAGAGCATCAATATGGAGAACAACATCAGAACATCAATATGGAGAAAATTTATCTAACTAGCCATGTGTTGGCTGTTGCTTTGTTTGTGTTCATGGCCTCACTGCACAAAACTCAACCGTATTGGAGAAGTAACTGTGTGTAGAAGAAGCTCTATATTGGAGAGATTATGGTGTTAATTTTGTGCTTGATGTTTGTATTATACTTTGAGTGACTTGATGTTATGTATTGGGCCATAAAATATGTCTGCATTTAGGAAAATCAAATGGCTGGATGAAATGAAAACTGCCTTGTATTAAATTTCATAACTGTCCACCTAATTTAATGATTGCTAAGGAGTAGCTTTTCAGGATTTGAGGGTAAAAAATTTCCAGCACTGTTTGGAAATGCTGAGGGTTAAACTGGATATACCGCTGCTTGTGAAGAGAGTGCTTTGTCACTGAGCACAGCTTGTAATTTTTAATCATACCTCATTTCCTAATATGAATTTATAGTCACTGTGCTTAAGAAATGCGGTATTCATTCTTGTTGAATTGTTAATCATAGGAAAAGGCAGGCTAAAATCTTTTGCACATTTTTCTCTATGTTCCATGAGTAAAAATGGGGTTGATTTCTAAGTAGACATGGGTACACCATAATACAAAATCTAAATTGAGGGTTACTTGTGCTATTTATTAAACATAATTTGTCACCCGGCAATCTGAACCTGAAACTGTGAAACCTCGGCCATTCACTCTGCATGTTTAGATTATCTTTTTTTAAACACACACACACACTAAGTTACATACTTTTTTCTTAATGTGTGATTAACTATGGTTTTTTTTTAAAAAAACCTTAATACAACTTTCATATTAAAATAAATATTGATCGCATGTGTATTGGACACTTGTCTAAGTCTTCGATCTTTTATTTATGAGTTTTAACGGGTGGTTAAAAAAAATAAGAATAAATGGCTTTTTAAAAGTATCAGCTTAGAAAACTGACAAATATGCAGCAAAAGATTATGGAGACATGCAGTGGCATTGCTAAAAATTAAACACAATAAGGAGATAAAAGGTAATTAATGTATTACCAGTTTGTGCCATAAATTTAGCAGCATCAGCTTGTTCCTGAGGGACCCTTTTCTCATGAACAGATCGAGGTCGCTGACTTTTAATTGTATGATCTCCCATCATTCCAAATTCTAAAGACAGAATAAAGGTTTATGAAAGCTCGTGCGTAGACATTTCTCAAAAGGTCACATACTATCTCATGCAGTTGTTTGACAAAAACACCTGAAGAGGGCATTAGTAGAACATCAGTTTACAAGGCCTGTTTTTTGCTTTCTTTTATATTGTGTTAAATGCCTCAACCTGTGTTTGGAAAGAGGTTTTAATCTAAAACTTGTTTAAAGTTATTTTTTAAAAAATAAATAAATATATATACTGTATATATATCAATATTTCAGAATTGTGATACATTAAAAAAAAAAACAGCCGTGGTACAAAATCAGTTATTTAGGCTACATACATTATATTAAGAAATAATATTTAAATCAGTGCAAACCACACCAGAAAACTACCACCAACACATTAAGTGGTGTCATTCTGCAATAAAACTTGGTGCTTCTTGGCTTTTCCTGCTTAAGCCACCCAACCAGTGGGATGGCAAATAAACTTTCATGAAAACAGTACAAATGTATTGTAATGACGGGGGCCAAAATTCCTTGTGTAATCTGGATGCAACAGCAGCTGTGTTTTACTTCCATTGCTTCAGAAAACTCTCTGCTACAAAAGACATGGAAGTCCCTGGGCTTTTTCCTCCCTGCTGTTCATTCTAAAGCAGAATCACTCTTTGATTTTAATAGGGGGGGAGAAAACCTATCTTAAAAACTCCTGCATGGAAATCATGAGATGCTATTTAAAACACAAGACAGCACTGCTAATTTTTTTCTCAGTGCCTTTGGCAAATCACTTAATCTCCAGCAGTTTAAACCTAATTTTTTTTATTGCTCATAACTATGTGCCCCGACACCTTTAAAGTGCAGCATCACAACATATGGCATTATTTTAGAAATAGAAACAACTGTTTTGGCAGAATTAGCATCAGTGTGACAGGCTCTATTGTTCATTGCCACAAGTAGCATGCACAGATTTCATAACCCAGAAACAGGCAGGCCTACAGCAGTCATTGAGCTAAACCAAATTTTCTTGTTCTTTTCTCTTAATCTTCTTTTATGAACCAGGTAACCAGGAGCCTTGATGGTGCAGTGGTTAGAATGCAGCATTGCAGGCGGACTCTGCCCACTGCCAGCAGTTCGATTCTGACTGGCTCGAGGTTGACTTAACCTTCCATCTTTCCCAGGTCAGTAAAATGAGAAGCCAGACTGTTGGGGGCAATATGCTGACTCTGTAAACCGCTTAGAGATGGCTTTAAAGCACTATGGAGCAGTATATAAATGCTATTGCTATAGAGTGAGCAAGTTTGGTTAAGGCATCAAGCTAGAAACCAGAAGACGATAAGTTCTACTTTAGCTTTAGGAATGAATGACCAGATGAGTGACTTCAGGCCAGTTCCTCTCTCTTAGTCCTAGGCAAACCACTTCCAAAATCTTTCCAAGAAAACTGCAGGGACTTGTCAGGACAACAGCTAAGTCAAATATTGACTTGAAGGCACAATCCTGCCCCCCTCATATATTTATAATTGCTTTCATGCTAAAGTCTAGGAGTACGAGAGGATACCCATCTAGACACAAAGAAACATACACAGGGAGTTCCATTTGAATGTATATTAATTTTGCAAAATTTAGTAAGACTAAACTGTGATGATAGCAGCAACTGTATCCTCATTGCATTTACTGCACATGGCATTCTCATTTTAAGATACCTATTCTCGTGAAAACTAGAATGCCTTCTTTTTAGTAAGAGGTCAGCTATGAACTGCACTGGCTACCAATTGGTCTCCGGACTCAATTCAAGATGTTGGTTATCACCTTTAAAGCCCTACATGGCTTAGGGCCAGAGTACCTTCGAGACCGCCTGCTGACACATAACTCCCAGTGGCCAGTAAGATCCCACAGATTGGGCCTCCTTCAGATGCCGTCAGCCTGACAGTGTCGGCTGGCTGGCCCTCGGAGGACAGCCTTCTCTGTGGCTGCTCCGTCTCT